CTCCTTGGCCTCCCAAAGTGCTGGGATTACAGGGGTGAGCCACTGTGCCCAGTCAGCTTTCTATCTTTCTATGCTTATTTCCTCATCTGTAAAATGTCATCCTTAGCAGGGCGAGGTGGCTCACACCTGTAATTCCAGCAATTTGGGAGGCCGAGGCGGGTGGATCCTCTGATGCCAGGAGTTCGAGACCAGCCTGGCCAACATGGTGAAACCCCGTCTCTACTAAAAATACAAACATTAGCCCGGTGTGGTGGCGCACACCTGTACTCCCAGCTACTCAGGAGATTGAGGTGGTAGAATCGCTTGAACACGGGAGGTGGAGGTTGCAGTGAGCTGAGATGGCGCCACTGCACTTCAGCCTGGGTGACAGAGTGAGACCATGTCTCAAAAAAAAAAAAAAAAGATAAAATGTCATCCTCACATCAGCCTTTTGTTGTGAAAAATAAAATCAAGAATTTACTCAAAGCAGTCAGAACAGTGCCTGACAGTAAGTCTTGTTAAAGTGTTAGCTATCATATATTATAGATGAGCACAATGTATATCATTATTAAATGTCAGCTTTATTATTATTATTTGAGACAGAGTCTTCCTCTGTCGCCCAGGCTGGAGTGCAATGGCACGTCTTGGCTCACTGCAACCTCCGCCTACTGGGTTTAAGCGATTCTCCCGTCTCAAAGCGATTCTCCCGTCTCATCCTCATGAGTAGTTGCGATTACAGGGGCGCGCCACCATGCCCGGCTGATTTTTGTATTTTTAGTAGAGACGGAGTTTCACCACATTGGCCAGGTTGGTCTCAAACTCCTGACCTCATGATCTGCCCGCCTCGGCCTCCCAAAGTGCTGGGATTACAGGCGTGAGCCACTGCGCCCGGTCAGCTTTATTATTAAAAGTTAGCTTCATCTGCTTTGTACACTAATGCATACCCAGTGCCCAGAACAGTGCCTGGAACATACTAGGTGCTAAATAAATATTTGTGACTTAATGCATGAATGAGGGTGGACTTCCTTTCTTTTGCTCTCACTGGAGAGTTGAACTCTCCTTCCAACGCGGGTGGGGTGGATATTGGCGTATTCAGGGCCATCAGGGCTGAAGTCAAGGGCTTAGTGGGGCTTAATTTGCTGGGGGGGCCCAGGACATGGCCCTCATTGTTTCTGTAGAAGGAAAGGTCCAACCCTCAAAAGACCTTCCGAAATCCCGCTGAAAGTTAAGTTGGGAAGGAAAACCTGCATGCGTATGTATCAGGGATTAACGTCTTTTGTCTTGCTTTGTTCAGTAGTTTCAAATTGCCTTCTCCAGGCAAGGCTGATGAAAGTGCAAGTTGCAAGTTAATTTGAATTTTTCTTTCTGCTTTTGCTCTCACAGAAAGTGGAAAGGCAACCAAACACTCTAGCATTCATGCCACCAAAAAGAGGTTTTGCAGTTACAAGACCTGGATTCGAATCACGACGACTCTTAGCTGCCCTGTAATCAGGCACAATTACTTGGGTCTCTGAGTCTCACTTTTCTTATGTAGAAAACGGAGATATGTTTACCTCCTTGGTAAGACTGATGAGAAGGAAATTATCTGTGCATTTTGAAACCACTTAAGCCTTGTACACGTTTTATTTCTGGGATCGCCACTGGTTCCCTGGTGGGGCTTCAGAAAAATAAAAAGGAGGTCCCTGAGCAAAGGCTGGGGGGCCCTTCATCTGAGGCCAACCCTCTCTTGTCCCAAGGATGGCCTGGACTGCTCCGCCCTGCGGCTCCCCAGGGACAAAGCCGCGAGGGTCCGGGTGAGAGCCCAGTGCTGGACCAGCTCGGCGCTCAGGGGTCCCGGCCGAAATCCCTGCTGTCTTTCAGGTCAAACGTCATAATTCCCGAACCCCAGAAAGGCCGAAAAGCAAGGCAACCCCGAAAGACGACGAAGTCAACACCAGGGCGCAGGGCCAGTGTGCTGACGACGAGGGAGGCTGGAGCCGCGGGGACAAGGCGCCCCATACAGCGGCAAGAGGGCGGAGGGCAGGAGCTCGCCGTCCTGGGTGAAAGCGGGGCCCAGCGAAGAGGCCCGGCCACAGGAATCTCGGTTCCACCCCGCGACTCCCGGCGGTGACTCCAGTTTCGTCCCCAGCCGCCCGGCGCCGCCCCGCCCCCAGCGGGCACTCAGGCCGTACCACTGTGCCTTCATGGGGGTGGAGTTAGATCGTGGGCTAGTCCTGCCGAGGAGAGAGGGGTTCTTCCTCAAAAAATATCATTATGTATAGTATTTGCATGATTCTAGTTAACTCGTTTCCCATCTGCATGCTCGGAACCTCTACCTGCGCTAGGAAGGGGGCGGAGCGCTTTCCTGCCTCCCCCTGCTCTTCCGCGTTTGGTGCGCGCCTGCGCGGTGCGTAGGCGGCGGGACGTACTTAAGCTTCGACGCAGGAGGCGGGGCTGCTCAGTCCTCCAGGCGTCGGTGCTCTGCGTTGTTGGAATCTTGTTGCTTGCTTGGCTGTGCGCGCGTGCGCCGACATGGCCTCAAACGGTAGGTAAGGGCGCGAGGCGGCGGCGGCGCACCGGGCCGAGGCCTCCCACCTAGGCTTTTCATTTTCGGTGGGACCGGGGTGGCGATCCTGTGTGGGATTCTTTCGCGCCCCTGTGGCGGGAAACCGCGGAGAGGGGTAACTGGAGGAGGCTGGTGTCGCCATTTTGTTTCGCTCCTCTGGCCCTCGCGCGCGGGGCGGCAAGTCTTCTCTTCGCAGTCCGTTTGCTTGGGGTGGTCGTTGGGAGGGACGCTTCTTAGGGGTTTGAAGCATCAGGTGAGGGTGGAAAATGCCCGGTTTCCGTGGCCTCGCCTCCCCCAACTCCCGGCCCCGCGCTCAGGCCCGCTTTGTCGCAGTGCTGCATCCGGGCACTCGCGGCGCGCACGCGCTCTGCGGGCCCCTCCCCCTTCGCGGCGCGGGTACCCCTTCCCCGCCTCGTGTCGGTTCAGCTTTTTGTCGCGAGACCCTTCGCGGAAGACTTGGCGGCGCGCGTCCGGTGTGAGCCTTGTTCCTCTGTGGTCTTTCGCGAAGGGGCGGGAGCGCTCCATTCCCGCCTCGGTTGCCACGCGGCTGGGGGCGGAGGCTCGGTATCGGGGCCGCGCTCCGGCTTAACGGTTTGGAGGCGGTGGTCGTGGTTCCACCAACGGACTCGGGGACCTGGCCCGAGAGTTTTTCCCGCCCAAATTTTTTTTTTTTTTTTTTTTTTTTGAGTCAAGATCTTCCTCTGTCGCCCAGGCTGGAGTGCAGTGGTGCGATCTCAGCTTGCTGCAATGTCCGCCTTCTGGGTTCAAGTGATTCTCCTGCCTCAGTCTCCTGAGTAGTTGGGATTACAGGCGCCTGCCACCACAGCCCGGCTAATTTTTGTGTTTTTTAGTAGAGACGGGGTTTCACCATGTTGGTCAGGCCCGTCTCGAATTGCTGGCCTCAGGTGATTCGGCCTTCCAAAGTGTCGGGATTACAAGCGTGAGCTACCGCGCCTGGTCTAAATTTCTTTTTTCTGAGATTGGGACGGAGAATAACAGCCGTCGAGGCCACACCCTCTCCTGGTCCTTTCCCTTTTCCTGCGGGGGAAGCGCCGCGTTTCCTGCGCTGGGAGGATGAGTTGATCTTGTTTGTGTATCTAAAGTGGGGCGTTACGAAAGGGCTTTCGTTGCTTTTGGTTCGCCCAGGGGAAGGCAGGGTAGATGAGAAAACAGAACCATCTGGAGCCCCACGGCTGGGGACTCGAGTACCTGTTGACTTTGGCCTCTTAAGGCGAGCACTTGGATGATCTCTGTCATTTGGGGTCCAAGGGCCCTTGATTCTCTGGCTTTGCACTAAAAAGCCCACTTCATCTCCGGAATTGGTCAAAGAGTGAAGAATGGCCTTTTTTGAGACATTCTTGTTCTGTGGGTCTGGGCTGAGAGAGCAGAGGCCACAATCTGAACACTGCTCGAATTCAAACCTGTGCTACTTGGTAGCTCTACGACTTTAGGCGAGTTGGTCTGTTTTGACTCCCGGCAATAATGGCTTTGTCATAGAGTGGATGAAGCGAATGCGCGATGTTTTAGAGCAATCACTGACATGAATTGGTCTTGCAGAAAGTTGTGGCTGTCCACCAAGACCTTGGTTTTTCCAACGGTTAAGGCTTCTGGGACTCTGTAGAAACTTGCATTTTCTTCACTTTTTCTTTTTTGTAAGAACACTTGGCTGATAGGCCAGTTTGCTACTCTTCTCAACCAGTGTCTCAATGGGGGAATTTTATGCCCTTTATTTAAACGTGATGCTTTTTTTTTTTTTTGAGACGGAGTCTCGCTCTGTCGCCCACGCTGGAGTGCAGTGGCGCGATCTGCAACCTCTGTCTCACGGGTTCAAGCGATTCTTCTGCTTCAGCCTCCCAAATAGCTGGGATTACAGGCGTGCGCCACCATACCCGGCTAATTTTTTGTATTTTTATTAGCGATGGGGCTTCATGTTGGTCAGGCCGGTCTCGAATTCCTGACCCCAAGTGATCCATCCACCTCGGCCTCCCAAAGTGCTGGGATTATAGGCGTGAGCCACCGCACCTGGCCTGTGTGGTCCTATTTATTCATCAGTGCTTGAGTTAAGGAATTTAGCTTTAATTCAACTGTTTCAGAGTGGCGGCTGAAGATAATATGATTGTATTTTTTTTTTTTTTTTGCAGATTATACCCAACAAGCAACCCAAAGGTGAGTGCTGTTTTTGGGCTTCCAGAGTTTGTAGAGGGGAAGGGTGGTCAAGCTGTGTTTTCTGATCACGCTGGTTTTCCTTTCATCTAGCTATGGGGCCTACCCCACCCAGCCTGGGCAGGGCTATTCCCAGCAGAGCAGTCAGCCCTACGGACAGCAGAGTTACAGCGGTTACAGCCAGTCCACGGACACTTCAGGCTATGGCCAGAGCAGCTATTCTTCTTACGGCCAGAGCCAGAGCAGTGAGTCTTTCTCAGCAGGTCACCTCTTCCTGCTCTTTCTGAATATTGCTTTTCTTTTTTTTCTTTGGGAGACGGAGTCTCATCCTGTTGCCCAGGCTGGAGTGCAATGGTGCTATCTCAGCTCACTGCAACATCCGCCTCCCGGGTTCAAACAATTCCCCTGCCTCAGCCTCCTGAGTAGCTGGGATTATAGGCGCCTGCTACCACGCCCTACTAATTTTTGTATTTTTAGTAGAGATGGGGTTTCGCCATGTTGGATAGGCTGGTCTAGAACTTCTGACCTTGTGATCCACCTGCGTCGGTCTCCCAAAGTGCTGGGCTTACAGGTGTGAGCCATCACGCCCTGAATGTCACTTTTCTTAAACCTGAGCAGGACTGAAGTGTTGAAACTCTTCCATATTTCTTTTCCCTAAATGAGTGTATAATTCTTAAAACTCTTTGGAGTCTGAGTCCTTTACAGGGCATTGTGGCACACCTGTAGTCCCAGCTACTGAGGAGTCTGAGGCAGGAGGATCCCTTGAGTTCAGGAGTTTGGGGCTGCAGTGAGCTATGATAGTGACTGAACAGCGACTGCATTCCAGCCTGGGCAGTGTATTGCGGCCCCATCTCAAAAAACAAAAATGTTTTTTGGTTTGTGATTCTGTTTACATTTGTTTTCTTTGGCTTTTAATTTTTATGACTCATTTCCCATCTCAGCATGAAAGAGCATATTTTCTAAAGGGAGAACCAGTTTTAGGCCAATTCTTAAATGGAGAAAATGGTTTTGCTTGAAACAAATGTATGAAATCATGTGATACATAAGGAGGTGGGATTTGCCCCAAGGTCTTGAAGTGTAACTAAGAAAGGTGGTTGTCCTGTACGTAACTGCATGCACAACTGCATATCACAGTGCTGTTAACAGGAATCCTTGGGCTTGGGATTAGAGGGTGGTGCTGGAGATGGTGTTGGGGTTGGCGGGGTTAAATTGGAACTGTCTTAGAGAAATGATAGAAGTTGGAGCATTAACTTTGGGCTTTGAAAGGAGGGTAACTATCTTTATGAGTTGCAAGATTATGAACAGCTTCTGAAAGGCTGACTTTTTGAGTATAGGTATTAGGTTGTATATGTTTTAACACATTTCTTACATTTTCTCTTTCCTGGTGGCTTTTGTGACTTCTTTTTTCTTATTCTTGTAGCAGGCTATGGAACTCAGTCAGCTCCCCAGGGATATGGCTCGACTGGCGGCTATGGCAGTAGCCAGAGCTCCCAATCTTCTTATGGGCAGCAGTCCTCCTACCCTGGCTATGGCCAGCAGCCAACTCCCAGCAGCACCTCGGGAAGGTACGGTGGTGTCGATGTCGGGGAAGGCTTGAAAAGAGGGGTGAATTGATGAGGAATGATAAAGGGACCAGCAGCAGTAGGAGCAGTTTAGAGGTGTAATTGGGGTAGGGGAGCCTGTGTTGAGTACAGAGAATGGAATCCACTAAAAGGAAATTGGGGGTGTATGCTGGGATTGTGATTGTTTTTTTTGTTTGTTTTCCTTAGTTACGGTAGCAGTTCTCAGACCAGCAGCTATGGGCAGCCGCCGAGTGGGGGCTACGGCCAGCAGCCTAGCTATGGTGGACAGCAGCAAAGCTATGGACAGCAGCAAAGCTATAATCCCCCTCAGGGTTATGGACAGCAGAATCAGTACAACAGCAGCAGCAGTGGTAGTGGAGGTGGAGGTGAGATGTCCTCAGCTTCATCTGCAGCCCATTTTCTATAAGGATTTGTATTCTCCTGTTTTAGCCTAAAAGGGTTCCTGTTTTATTTCCTAGCTGTCTTTTTAATTTCTTTTGTACTTCATTGCCTGGCACTTGTCAAACCTTTTTGTGCTACTTTACAATTTTTTTTTTTTAACCATCCTTTTTTTCCTCACAGGTAGCTATGGCCAAGATCAATCCTCCATGAGTGGTAGTGGTGGTGGCGGCGGCGGTGGCGGCGGCGGCGGCAGTGGTGGTGGTGGTGGTTATGGCAATCAAGACCAGAGTGGTGGAGGCGGCGGTGGCTACGGACAGCAGGACCGTGGAGGCCGTGGCAGGGGCGGCAGCAGTGGTGGCGGCGGCGGTGGTGGTGGTTACAACCGCAGCAGTGGTGGCTATGAACCCAGAGGTCGCGGAGGTGGCCGTGGAGGCAGAGGTGGCATGGGGTAGGTGTCTCATGAGCCAGGGAGTATCTTTGGTGGGGAGTGTGGAGGATTGCATGAATCTCCCTGAAGCCAGTCCCTAATGCATGGTTTAGTATTCTTGTTGTCTGGGGGATCTGTGAGGGCTTTGATTTGGGGGCAGTGATTTTCTTTTTACATCCCCATTTTATTTTTGTGAGAATTTGGGAGCCTGAACTCCCATCCATACCACCGAACAGAGATTTTGAGTATTGATACTTGTTTCCAAAAAAAAGAAATCATACATAGATTTCCAATATGAATGGATTGGAGTCATTGATATCCTAGGCAAGAAACATGGAAGTGAAGACTTCTTTCTCTGCAAGGGAAACCGATGAACCCACTCCTGGGAAATAGTAGGGAAACTTGGTATGTGTGTTCCCGTGTGTCCTCTAGGGAGTTGGTAATGGTTAACCTGACTTCAGCTTCCAGGAATTGGTTACTCTTCCCGTTTTCTGTAGTCATTTGAATCCACGAGCTTGATTTGCACCAATTTGACCGACATTGATTTTGGGTGTGACTTGGTTTATGGGACCAACTGACTGAAGTGTGCAGACCTTTTGGGCAAAAATATGCTTGACAGTGGTCTCCCACCTAGTTGTTCCACTGTCTGCCTTACCCTGGTTACTTAAAATTCATCAGCTTGTCCAACTGGACCTTCTTTCCTTCCTGCTGAAGTTGATTTGAAGTAAAACCTTAGATTTGATGTTAAAACAGTTGTCAAATCTGTCGGTAAATACGATTTGAAGGACCCTACTCTGTCTCCCTTGAAAAAGGGCAGGAATGTCAGTGTAACTGTTTTTGGAAAAAGTAGATTTTTAAACTGAGTTTGGATATGGTAAGTATGCAGAGGTGGGTGGGGGCAATCTCAAAAACGTACAAAAATGAGGAAAACTCTGTTGTGTGCGTGTGTTTAATGCAAAACTTTAAAAAGAAAAACAACTGTTATGTGACTGTTAACTTGCTCTGCATTTTATGTGCCACAGGTATGAAAGGTGACATTGCAAAATACTCCGCTCTTCTCGCAGTGTAGAAGGGGTGACCCCGGGGGTTGGGGGAGATTAAAAACAGCTCAGTAGTTAGGATAGAGCTTAGCTAAGTTTGTCTTGCTTTAAGGGGAAGTTGCCTTTGGTTTTGACTTTTTATGGAATGGGGTTGGGTCTGCTTGCTGCTTTCAAAGCAAAAACCACAAAAGTGTGTTCAAGGCTACCCCAGCCTGGTGTGAAATGTCTTCTGGGTAAATTGGGGTAGGGTTTTTAAACCAACTACTTGGTTGTCAACCACTTGCGACAAGAGGAAAAAAAAACATCTGCTCCATCGGAAGAACGACCAAGGAAAATGGGTCATTTTTTTCCAGAGGAAATAGATACATAACCTTTTAAAGCAAAATCTTTATAAACTGTGTCTGAGAAATTGCACACGTGTGTGTGACATGCTCAAAGGTCAGACAAGGGGTGGTCAGGAAGGGATGTATTTTAGTAGCCACTTGTATCTTTTTCCAAAAACACCTACCCGTGTTTGGGAAATGTTAAACAAAATCAAAAAACACCCTTTTGTAGCCGTTGGAAGCTTCATGTCCTTTCTTCTAACTTGTCTTCTCCAGCGGAAGTGACCGTGGTGGCTTCAATAAATTTGGTGGTAAGTGAACAGAGTTTCCAAAATTCCCAACTCCCAGCAATGCTTTGTCTGATTGTTCATTTGCAGATGTCTTAGCGTGTTAATTTAAATGTCAAAGGTTTTGAGGTGTCCAGAACCACCTCCATAAAGGGGTAGGGTAGAATGCCACCTGTTGCCTGGTGTGTGCTAACCTGGAGCAGGCAGGGGTAAGATTCAATAGTCGTCTTTTACCAAATGGGTTTGCCCCAGGTTAATAAGAGGGGTTTAGTAGGCCTTGGACAGGGCTGTTGCCACACCTGGCACTTAGTGACCATCATCATGAGAAACTGGAGAGTGCGTGCTGGAACACGTGGTGCCATCTTGACTTTAGGATCCTTTTGATCATTGTGTCCAAGGCTTGTGTGTGTGTGTGAGAGTGGGAGACAACCTCCAAATGTTTTAATTCTGGAAGAGGGATGTAACATTGCCCTAAGAATGGTGAAGTTGGTATACCTTTATAAAGTACGGAATGGTGTCAATGAATGCAATTCTATGTATATGGACTTAACTCAGATGGGCAAATAGAAACTAGCTCTGGGAAGGAACATGTGCACTACTTCAAGAAAGATTGGAAGCATGTGTGGCTCATGGGAAATAACCAGGTCTTAAACAGCACAAACTGAATTCATGGACCAGGAAGGTCTTAAACAGCACAAACTGAATTCATGGAAAAATGACAAATTTGAGAAGTCTCCCAGTAAGCTGGAACTTTTCTGGTTTGGTTAACTAACAAAAGGTTTCTTGATTTGTCTCAACATTTAAAGCCAAAGGCTTGGGTTCATAACTTAGGTGTCATTGCGTGTGGGTACAATATTTATATATGGCGAATTCAGATAAACATTGGTCAAAGATGGTCTCTGGAAAAACAAAATAGAGGCTGCATTACGAAAGTAAGATTTCTGGTCTGTTCCCTGGGACATGCTTAAAAAATACAATAGCTATTATGTATGGTTTTTATTTTCATGTGGTTTTGGGGAAACATAACACGGTTTTAAGGATGGTTTCTAAAGATGAAATTAAAAATTGTTCCACAAGGGATAAGTGTCTTTGGTAAAGTTGGGAGAAACTGGATGGATGCACATCTCATGGCTGGTGGCGAGCCCATCTCTCTTCTCTCGGGTGAGAGAACTGGGCCAAGCTGAGTTGGTTTGTTCACTTTAATGGGTCTCCCTTTCCCCTGCCATCTGTGCTGAGGACATTTCCCAGCTTGAGCTGGGGGAGGCAGCATTTTCTGAAGTGTGGAGTTGTCTCTGTGGAGACTCAAGTTACAGATCTTAAGGGGCCTGCCTAGAATTTTCTCCGGGCAGGCGACCCAGGAAAGGGTTTGGAGTGAGGCTGTGAGCACTTCATGATATTTTACAAGTTTGGATTTGGTGTTGATTTTTTTCCTTGTCCATTTTTTCCTGTTGACTAACGGCTCCTCTTCCTTGTTTTTGTTTTTTTTTTGTTCTTTTTTTCCATGTCACTTAAGGCCCTCGGGACCAAGGATCACGTCATGACTCCGGTGAGTTCACAGGTGGTGGCATGAAGAGTGGCTAAAGTGGTATCAAGACTTTGCCTGGATATTGTTTGAAACTATTATAAAAGGGAAACTGAAAAAAAGGGGATAGAGAAGGAAGGGAGTTAGGTGTATCCTTAGCTAGCAGTGAGAAGTATTCATTATTAAGTATTTCTGAGAAATACCTGGCTTGTGGGTTCCACCCCCAGCGATTTAGAAGGTCTGAGATGACCCTGAAAACCTACCTTTCTAAGAAGTCCCTAGTGATGTTGATGTGTCTGCACCACATTCAGATGGTTTTTACAGCAGTGGTTTTTTAAAAATGTGGATCATGTCCAAGCTGGTAAATAAAAACTAGTGAACGAAAGACCAGACCACATGAAGTAAAGCATTGAACTCTTGTTTAGATTGTATTGATGTTTGTGTACTAGATTTGAATGTAAAATGGGTCTCTTAATTCGGGACCTTCAACTGGAAGTTGATAAATACTGATGGGCTTTTTTGTGTGGTCTTGGGCATTTCACTCCTGAGCCCGTGTTTCCGTACTGTATACTGTGTGTTAACATGTTTCAAAGGATAATTTTCAAACTAAATTTGAAATGTATCAGCGTGGGTGGCATGTAGGGACTCAAAAGGGATGTGGATTTTTCAGTTGTCTTCATAAACCAAATAATACGAGTTGCTTGATGGATACTAGGTGCTTTAGGTTTTTTCGTATGTCATTTATTTTACCTTCTCACATTTGCATTTTCTTCTCTGTTCAACAAGCAGAACAGGATAATTCAGACAACAACACCATCTTTGTGCAAGGCCTGGGTGAGAATGTTACAATTGAGTCTGTGGCTGATTACTTCAAGCAGATTGGTATTATTAAGGTACTTGTGGAGCGGAGTGGGTGCTTTCTGTCAGTGTTGCAGGCTTTTGGATTTCACACATTAGTAAAAGCAAGTCTTTAATGGTTGCCAGCAGTAAAAACAAATCTTAATGGTTGTTGCCAGCTTAATTTGTTGAGGAAAGAGCCTTAGTTACTGTTTTCTAAAAGAAGTTCTATCTTAACACGAAAAGTATAACTGATAAGAATGCCCTAAACTCTGAAATTTGTACTTTATAGTAACTTTTAGTTTTATCCTTCAATATTGGAGGGAAAGACAGTTTTCCTCAATGGAGGTTTACATGTGAGGTAGGACGAAGTAACTAGGAAGAGGGGAGCTGAAGTTTGGGAATGATAAACCTCATGTTCTAGAGGAAGAAGATGGAAAGGGAGTACTGTAGCCTTTAAAATTGATGTTACTTCATTTTGCTATCTTCAGACAAACAAGAAAACGGGACAGCCCATGATTAATTTGTACACAGACAGGGAGACTGGCAAGCTGAAGGGAGAGGCAACGGTCTCTTTTGATGACCCACCTTCCGCTAAAGCAGCTATTGACTGGTTTGATGGTATGTATGAGAAGGCTGGCAGAGGTGGGGCTGGGGATATAGGGCAGCAAGCCATAGGAAGCAAGTCATAGTTTGAGGGTTCATTTGAGTCTTCCGACACTTTAGCTGCGGTTTCAAGTAGTCTCATTTTTGCTTATGAGTCAGTAGATTATAAACCATTTGAGAAAGGCACGCTTATCTTGTATTTTTGGATTAATGTATCTTGCATTTAAAGTCTCTTGATACTTTTTTATTTCTCTAGGTAAAGAATTCTCCGGAAATCCTATCAAGGTCTCATTTGCTACTCGCCGGGCAGACTTTAATCGGGGTGGTGGCAATGGTCGTGGAGGCCGAGGGCGAGGAGGTGAGGAGCTACCTGCTGTTGGTGCAAAGAGGGGTGATGAGGAGAGTAGAGAAGATGGTAAAGGCTTGCATGGAATGGATTAGGTTTACCAAACTTGGAGGGGGAGCAGACCCATACTTGTTTTATCTGCATTAGGACCCATGGGCCGTGGAGGCTATGGAGGTGGTGGCAGTGGTGGTGGTGGCCGGGGAGGATTTCCCAGTGGAGGTGGTGGCGGTGGAGGACAGCAGCGAGCTGGTGACTGGAAGTGTCCTAATCCGTGAGTGAAACTTAAATTTTTTTCTTAGTTCTCTCACATGTCTGCTTTTTGATATTATGGTAATGAGGTGTGTGCGTGTTTTCCAAAGAAGTAAATGTCAAGGCCACACTGTTGGGGTCAGATTTAGCCAAAAGCTTACCTAGGTAAGGTTGATGTAATGGGAAAGGTAATGGATTGGGTTCAGTAATGATTTTTGTTCCTGGCTTTGAGAAGCAAGCCTTTTTGTCTTTCTGAAGCCTCAGTTTCCTCACTGTATCTCTAAAGTCATGGTAGTTTTTTCCTACTTCTAGGTCTCGTCTATTCCCCATTCCTCTAGACTAATTGTCTTCCTTCTCCTTAGCACCTGTGAGAATATGAACTTCTCTTGGAGGAATGAATGCAACCAGTGTAAGGCCCCTAAACCAGATGGCCCAGGAGGGGGACCCGGTGGCTCTCACATGGGTAAGAAAGGCAGACCTGTTGCTAAGGAGCTGGGACCAAAGAATCCTTAATTTTTCAGCAGGGAGGCTCGGGGAAGGGAGGGGAATGGGAATATGATAGATCTTACTTCTTTTGTCCTAGGGGGAAACTACGGGGATGATCGTCGTGGTGGCAGAGGAGGCTATGATCGAGGCGGCTACCGGGGCCGCGGAGGGGACCGTGGAGGCTTCCGAGGGGGCCGGGGTGGTGGGGACAGAGGCGGCTTTGGCCCTGGCAAGATGGATTCCAGGTGAGACTTTAAATCAGAATAAAAAAGTAGAGCAGGTGAACAGAGGCCATAGGATAACAGGGTTTTGTTGAGAAAGTGGTTTCATTTTGAGGGCTAGATGGAAGGACCTGAGATTGTAACCAGTAGTGGAGAGGGAAGCAAAATTAACTCAGGAGGAATGAATCTGTAGACCCACTTGAGATAAGATACTTGCTGATTTAGGTAGGAGGGGCAGATAGGATATCTAGGCTTGCAGAGACTGGTAACTCAAATACAATGGATACTTAATTTTTTTTTTTTTTTTTTTTTTTGCAGGGGTGAGCACAGACAGGATCGCAGGGAGAGGCCGTATTAATTAGCCTGGCTTCCCAGATTCTGGAACAGCTTTTTGTCCTGTACCCAGTGTTACCCTCGTTATTTTGTAACCTTCCAATTCCTGATCACCCAAGGGTTTTTTTTGTGTCGGACTATGTAATTGTAACTATACCTCTGGTTCCCATTAAAAATGACCATTTTAGTTAAATTTTGTTCCTCTTCCCCCTCTTCAGTTTCCTGGAAGATTGATGATGTCCCAATCAGGAAGGTGGGGAGTTTTCCTGTTCAGATTACCTTGCCCAGCAGGAACTGGAATACAGTGTTTAATCCAGGGGAGAAGGCCAAATGATACCCCTTGAGAGCAGATATGAAACTTTCCTGTCATGGGCAAAGTTGGATGTATAAATGAGAAATGAAGAACATGGGATGTCATGAGTGTTGGCCTAAATTTGCCCAGCTATGGGGAATTTTTCCTTTACCACATTTATTTGCATATTGGTCTTAGTTTATTTGCAGCAGTTTAAGAACTTTTTAAGAACTCTTGCATCTTTTGGCACATTTAATGGTGAGGCTCAAACAAATTAGATTTAAATGGGGCAGTATTCACATCTGACCATGGTGGAGAGTGCTTAGCCACTCTGGGTCTTTCACAGGGAGAGTAACTTAGTGCCTGCTGAGTGCTGCAGTGTTTGTGGAGTCAGGATCTAATCGTCAACCCTGGGAGACCAGACAGTTAACGGCTGAGAAGGAAGTACATGAATTACATGGCTCTCAGAACCAGAAAATGGGAAAGCTGGAAGTGAGTCCTACTCAAGATTTCTTGACTCCATTTCCGTTTTATGGCATTTTGACTTGAAACCATCATGCAGGAGATACTGAAGAGGCCGAATTCCTATCCCACACTGGTTTACTTAGGTCTTAAGAGGATGCTACAATAAGAGACTTGGGAAATGGAGATGGTGAAGAAGGGGAAGGTTTTCTGCGAAAGGAAGGTAGAGGTAGTTGCTTGTATTTAAAGGAGGTGAGTGACTCCCTTCGTAGTTACCCTGGTGAATGGGGTTTAGGTAGATACTTGCTGTAAGGAGACTGGTCTGGCTGGGTCACTTTCACATCCTGCCTGTACTGGGAGGGCTTGAGGTCATTGACATTTTGAGATTTTAGGCTTGATCGTTTTTGATTGGAGGGTGGAAGGCCCTCCTGAGGGAATGAGTGATAGAGCGGAGAAGGGGTTGCAGCCAGTGAGTTAAAACCTTGGAGCAATGCCCCTCAGCCTCTTACCATGTGGCTGAAAACTTGCACATACCTGGCAAGCAGTTACTTTAAAGCATACTTTTTATTTTAATTACACAGAGCGTAAAGTTAACCCAAGAGCAAAAAGGTTTTAGTTAATGGGGTTTTCAAACTTGGTTTATAAGACAGCTGCCATCACAAACATAGCTTATAAATGTGCTGGGGACCCCTAATTGGGAAGTGCTTTCATCTCAAATTTTTATTTTTGGAGACTTGCTCTGTCATGCAGGTTAGAGTGCACTCTTGGCTCACTAACCTCCGCCTCGCGAGTTCAAGCGATTCTCCTGCCTCAGCCTTCCGAGTAGCTGGGACTACAGGCCCACTTAATTTTTGTGTTTTTAGTAGAGATGTGGTTTCACCATGTTGACCAGGCTGGTCTCTCAATTCCTGACCTCAGGTGATCCACCTGCCTTGGCCTCCCAAAGTGCTGGGATTACAGGCATGAGCCGCTGCACCCGGCCGTCCTCAAATTTTCAAGTGTGTTCCCTAAGTATGTTCTTTACAGAAGAGTTGCTGCAACCTTGAATCTTGGTGATTTGAGGCACAGAAGCTAGGACTTTATTTTTTGAGATGGAGTTTTGCTCTTGGTCCCCAGGCTGGAGTGCAGTGGCGCATTCTCGGCTCACTGCAACCTCTGCCTCCTGGGTTCAAGCGATAGCTGGGATTACAGGCATGCGCCACTATGCCCAGCTAGTTTATTTCTATTTGTAGTAGAGACAGGGTTTCTCCATGTTGGTCAGGCTGGTCTTGAACTCCTCACCCGAGGTGTTGCGCCCACCTCGGCCTCCCAAGAAACTGACTTTTAAAAGGAATAGCAGGTTTACCTTCCCTGCCAGCATTGGAGTGCTCTCTAAGCAACAGTAGGCTGAGAGTAGTCTGGCATGTTGAAGGATTGTCAAGTGGGCCTTCCCAGGCATTGCTTTGACTTGGTACATGTAGAGAAGTCCTCTGAGAACAAGGATGTGGCAGTTCTGTCCCTGTCCCTGCTGCTTTTGGTTTCTTTGTTAAATGTTTAGTTGAAATGGCCAGATAGGATATTTCTGAGTAGTTCACTGTTGGTGCTTTGCCTATCAGGATTCTAGCTTTGGTTGTGGTCCCCTGATCTCTTTCTTCCAGGAGTGAAGGAGGTTGAAGCTCCTTGTAAGACCTGATTACTGGGACCGTTAGTGTCAAGTTCCTGTGCCCTTCAAATGGCTTATGTGATTGGCCTTGGCCTTAAAAGGAAATAGGGTCCCAAGTGACTGTTCAGTGGGTAGGTCCAGTTTGGGGGCATTTTCCAGGAGAACGGATAGAGACACCTAGCAGCCGAGAGAACATTGGTGCCTCTGAAGCAAACCTCCCACCTCAGCCTCCCGAGTAGCTGGGACTACAGGTGCTCCCTCGCTACCATACCTGGGTAATTTTTTTTTTTTCTTTCTTAATTAGGAGGGTTTCGCTGGGTTGCCCAGGCTGGTCTTGAACTGGGCTCAAGTGACCTGCCTGCCCCAGCCTCCCAAAGTGCTGGGATTACAGGTATGACCCACCGTGCTTGGCCAGAATACTCTCTTGTTTTATGAGATGGAGTCTCGCTCTGTTGCCCAGGCTGGAGTGCAGTGGCACAATCTCAGCTCACTGCAAGCTCAGCCTCCTGAGTAGCTGGGACGACAGACACCTACCATCGCGCCTGGCAAATTTTTTTTTTTTTTTTAAAGTAGAGACAGGGTTTCACCGTGGTCTCGATCTTCTGACCTTGTGATCCACCTGCCTTGGCCTCCCAGAGTGCTGGGATTACAGGCGTGAGCCACCGTGCCCAGCCCAGAATACTCTTAACTGAATAATTGAAATCTGTCTTGAAGCATTAGGTGCCCCATTTTTGTGAGTTGGAATTGGGACAGGCTAACTAGGAAGTGAGGATGGTGGGGAGAGGTGTGCTGTAGGTCTGTTTGCCCCTTCCTTGATGTAGTCTTCGGTTAGCCCTATCAGCCTTTTTTCCCCATCTCGTGCCAGGCCTTCCTGGGTTTCAGTACTTCGATGTTGGGCTGCAGTTAAGTCAGTGGTGGGTAGATTGACCAGGAGTTAAGCTCGTGTGAGACTTGACTCATTGATCACCTTTAGGCGTGTCTTCCTACTTCCAGCCTTCCTACTTCCAGTCTCATCCTTTTTAAAGAAAAAAAAAATTTTTTTTTTTTTTTTGAGACTGTGTCGCTCTGTCGCCTAGATTGAATTGCAGTGGTGTGATCTTGACCAACTGCAACCTCTGCCTTCCACCCCCAAGCAATCCGCCCACCTCAGCCTCCAGAGTAGCTGGGACGGGACTATAGGCACCTGCCACCATGACTGGCTAATGTTTTTTGTATTTTCTGTAGAGATGGGATCTTGCCATGTTGCTCAGGGTTGTCTCAAAACTGCTCTGGGCTCAAGTGATTCTCCTACTTTGGCCTCCCAGAGTGTTGGGATTAGAGAGATGAGACACTGCGTCTGGCTATGAAAATTTTATTTTCAGTTGACTTGCATATATTTATGGGGTACAATGTCCTATTTCTGTACACGTACATATTGTGGAATCAAATCGGGCTAAGTAACGTATCTGTAACTTTATATCATTAGCATGAATGAGAACATATAAAACCACTCAGCAAATTTTGAAATTTATGTTACTTCAGCCCTTTTATGCTGGAGGTTGCAAATTTTGTGTGTGTGAATTATCAGACCAAAAATAAAAAATGATTGAAGACAGACTTCAATCATTCAGGAATGGTGTATTCTGGGTAAGCGTGGTGGGTCACACCTGTAATGGAACACTCAGCATGGCATAAATAGGTGGAGACGGGTCTCCTTATGTTGCTCAGGCTGGACTCGAACTCCTGGGCTTAAGTGATCTTATTGCCCTCAGCCTCTTAGCTGGGACTATGGATGCATGCCACTGTGTCTGGCATTTTTATGAACTATAGTCACCATGCTGTGCAGTGGCTTACCAGAACTCATTTCTTGTACCTGAAGTGTTGTTCCCTTTGTCTCCCTGCTTACCCATACCTCCAAGCCTCTGGTAACCCCCATTCTACTTTCAGCTTCCGAGTTTGACTTTCTAGATTCCATGTATATGAATTCAGGTGGTCTTTCTGTGGCTTACTTCATTTAGCATAATGTCTTCTAGATTCATTGATTCACCCATGTTACAAATAACAGTTTCCTTTTAAAAAGCTGAATAGTGTTCTGTTGTGTCAACATACCACATTTAAAAATCCATCCGTTAATTGGGCACTTGGGTTGCTTGCATATCTTGGCTAATGTGAATAACACTGCATTGGGCGGGAGTGCAGATGTCTCTGACGTACGGATTTTTTTTTTTGATCAGACAGATCAGTCTTGGTCTGTCACCGAGGCTGGAGTGCAGTGGTACAGTCTTAGCTCACTGCAACCTCTGCCTCCCAGGTTCAAGCGATTCTCCTGCCTCAGCCTCCCAAGTGGCTGGGATTACAGGTGTGCACCACCACGCCCAGCTAACTTTTGTGTTTTTAGTAGAGATGGGGTTTCTCCATGTTGGCCAGGCTGGTCTCAAACTCCTGACCTCAGGTGTTCCGCCTGCCTCCATCTTCCAAAGTGTTGGGATTAGAGGCGTGAGCCACCGTGCCCAGCCGACGTAGATTTCAGTTCCCTTCAATGTACACCCAGAAGTGGTATTGATAGGTCATAGGATACTTCTATTAGCTATTTGAGGAGACTTCCTACTATTTTCCATAATGGCTGTATTAGTCCACATTTCCACCAACAGCGTACAGGGGTTCCCTTCCTCCACGTCTTTGCTAGTTATCTTTCATCTTTTTGATACAGCCATTCTAACAGGTGTGAGGTGACATTTCTTGTCCTTTTTAACCGTCCACCATGGAGTCTGTAACCAGGTCTCACTTTCTATCGTAGCCTGCAAGAGAGGCTAAACTTAGTATGGAATGTGGGGTCCTATCTGCAGTCATTCCTCCCTAGTACTCTGACTCCATTTTTACCTTTGGATCCTCAGTTCTGACCAACCCTCTTTTTTTTCATCGTTAACTGTATTTTGAAATTTTAAAGACACGGGGTCTCACTTTTGGCCTGGCTAGTCTCAGTAGGCCCTAGCGATATCCTTCCACTTTAGGCTCCTGAATGACTGGGACTACAGATGTGGTACTGCACCTGGCTATTTTGGAATAATTTGACTTCGAAGAAAAGGTCTACAATTGCGGTGTTCACTTTCTTAATGCAAACGTCTTCAATGGCGCTGGCATATACAAGCTGAGAAAGTATTGTCAAGTGGGTTGTGCCAGCACATCTGACCAGGATTTTTTGTTGTAGAAATATTGGATCCTCACCTGAGGCCAGGAGTTCGAGATCAGCCTGGCCAACATGGTGAAACTCCGACTCTACTAAAAATACAAAAATTAGCTGGGCGTAGCGGCAGGCACCTGCAGTCCCAGCTACTCGGGAGGTTGAGGCAGGACAATCGCTTGTTGAACCCAGGAGGTGGAGGTTGCAGTGAGTGGAGATCGCGCCACTGCACTCTAGCCTGGGCGATGGAGTGAGACTCTGTCTCAAAAAACAAAAAGCAGTATTAGATCCTCAATCTCAAGGTATTCTAAGAGCTTTTGGAGACCATTGAGTCTAAAATTCCCAGTATCCTAGAGGCAGTAACAAGACTTGGAGAATGTAGTTTACGAGCAGGAGTTTGGAGCTGGAAGAAATACTGCTTTCTGTTGGTGGTTAATGCTGTCAGCTCCTTGGATTGCGGCTTTAGCTCTAAATATTGGGGCAGTAGAGACTCTTAACTGGAAAACAATTGAGGGCCACCGGTGTAGGGGCAAGCGGCAGAGGAAAGCTTGGGTGCTTGGGTTGAAGATGGTGGATGTGCTGTCCCTGTGAGAGTGTTGGTGCTGGACCCGGGAGCCAACCATGAAGCGTTTCAGCGAGCAGGGTCCAAGCAAGGGCAGTAGAGGGCCGGATGAAGTGGGCAGGAACCGTTTCCCAGGTGACATCCTGCCTGTGCTCAACACGCCGAGGGGTGGCAGTGTTGCACAATCACACAGATTCCTTGTCACTGTTGAGTGCAGTGTTCTTAAGAACGGACCTGGCGGCCAGGCACGATGGCTCATGCCTGTAATCCCAACACTTTGAGAGGCTGCAGTAGGCAGATCGCGAGGTCAGGAGTTCGAGACCAGCCTGGCCAACATGGTGAACCCTGTCTCTACTAAAAATACAAAAAATTAGCCAGGCGTGGTGGCAGGCATCTG